AAATTCATCAATCTAAAAATCACTGCATTTCCTGGAAAGTTATCTCTTGGAAAGTTACCTCACTATAGTAGCCAATGAATCGTCAGTTTACCTAATATATTAGACCAGTTGGCTCTCAGTAGAAAGGTATCAATGCAGTTATGATGTCTTTCTTTTCAACTATCACTAATCTATCTCATGGCCTTGCAAAAATAATTTGGCTTTTTTGTTCTGAGGAATTTCCCTCCTGCCTACATCACTGCATGATGTGGAGTTATGATAAAAGTAATACCAACCGCCATCATCATCACCACAATCATAGTTGATGTTTAATTTTATGTGTCAACTTGACTGGGCTGAGGAGTACCCAGACTGCTAGTAAAACATGATTTCTATCAGGCGCTGTGGCTCATGCCTGTAATCCCAGCACTTTGGGAGGCCGAGGCAGGTGGATCACCTGAGGTCAGGAGTTTGAGACAAGCCTGGCCAACATGGAGAAACCTCGTCTCTACTAAAAATACAAAATTAGTTGGGCATGGTGGTGCAAGCCTGTAATCCCAGCTACTCAGGAGGTTGAGGCGGGAGAATTGCTTGAACCTGGGAGGCAGAGGTTGTGGTGAGCCAAGATCGTACCATTGCACTCCAGCCTGGGCAACAAGAGCAAAACTCTGTCTCAAAAACAAACAAACAAACAAAAACCATGATTTCTGAACATGTCTATGAGGGTGTTTCCAGAAGAGATTAGCATTTGAATTGGTGGCCTGAGTGAAGATCTGCCCTCCCGAATTGGGTGAGCATCATCCAATTCATTGAGGACCTGAATAGAATAAAAAGGCAGAGGAAGGGTGAATATGCTCTCTGTTTGATCTGGGATTTCAGTTCTCCTGGTTTTGGGGCCTTTGGACTCAGACCAATACTTAAACCATCCCTGGGCTCAAGCCTTCTGATTGGTTTTGCTGGTTCTCCAACTTGCAGATGGCAAATTGTGGGACTTCATTCTATAGTTCTGTGAGCCAATTCCTGTAATTAATCTCTCTCTCTCTCTCTCTCTTTCTCTCTCCACATACATATATATCTCCTGGAAAATTACATCACTGAGTCATTTTTACTCCTGGGCTTTTAGCTGTAGTAGCCAACTAATTGTCAGTTACATATATGGTCAGATATCTATGTATCACTTATCAATATTCTATTGGTTCTAGTTCCCTGTAAAACTCTAATACAAATACATTTCAATGTTTTAAGCACTGTTCTAAGTACTTTACATATATTAATACATTTAATCCTCACAGTCTCATGAAGTAGAAACTATTGTTATCTCCATTTTATAATGAGGAAACTGAGGGACAGAGAGGTTAGCTAACTTGCCTAAGGTTATACGTGTATCAAAAGATAGGTATATAACTGCTTTTAAAAAATAGTTTGTTTTTAGACTATAAAAATGATACATATAGTTTTTATAGAGTTCTTATTATACAGATAATTATAATTCTTCCAAACATCTCTTTATGTATCTAGGGATATGTTGATTCATTATTATCACTTAACATAAATGAAATTAAGCACACAATACTTTTCTATAATCTGCCTTTCTCTCTTTTCTTTCTTTCTCTCTCTCCTCCCTCCCTTCCTTCCTTCTTTCCTTCCTTTTGACTTTGTTTTCTAAGCTGATCTCTTTTCTTTTCTTTTTTTCTTTTTTTTTTTTTAAGATGGAGTCTTGCTCTGTTGCCCAGGCTGGAGTACAGCGGTACAATCTCGGCTCATTGCAACCTCCACCTCCTGGGTTCAAACAATTCTCCTGCCTTGGCCTCCCGAGTACCTGGAATTACAGGTGCATGGCACCACACTCAGCTAATTTTTGTATGTTTAGTAGAGATGGGGTTTCACCATGTTGGCCAGGCTGGTCTTGAACTCCTGACCTCAAGTGATCCACCGTATTGGCCTCCCAAAATGCTGGGATTACAGGCGTAAACCACTGTGCCTGGCCCAGGCTGGTCTTGAACTCCTGGCATTAAGCGATCTTCCCACCTCAGTTTCCCAAAGTGCTAGGATTACTGGCATGAGCCACAATGCCCAGCCTGCAATCTACTTTTTCTCCTCCATTAGATGATCCAGTATAGGTAGACATCAACAGCCCTTTTAACACTCTCTGGTTATTAGAATGACTAGGGCTGAGGGGAACCTCCCAGCTGCATCAGAAGGGTGGACTTGAGATCAGTGTTTCTAGTCCATGACGGATTCTTTATAGCAAGTTTGATTTTAGTCTGATTTTTAATGTAGCTCTCCTTGAGAATGCCACAAAAATCTTTTCTGGAATGCAAGCCAGGAAGGGCTGCTGGTCACCGATTCTGAACTGAGAGCCTGATCTTCTTCTCCAGCTCTCTGGAGAACTGGCACCAAGCTCTGGGCTGACCACTGGTTTGGTGACATCTGAGGTCATGTGCTAGCTGGCACCAGGGAAACCCAGCATGCAGACATATACCCTCAGAGGTGAAGCTGAGCCAAGAGCTATCCCTGGGCTGTTATTTCAGCAGTACCATGGCATGTGATGAGCTAGTGAGGAAAGAAGTTGAAACCACTCCAGGAAACCAGATAAGTTTTGTGATGAGGGCTCCCATGCACCACACTAGGCAACACTACTCACACCACTGTCTATATGGATGATACCTCTGAGTTGTGCAGTACACAGCATGAGTAGTCCTAAGTGATGTGCCCATGGTGGATCAGCTGAGGCTGGGCCTGCAGGGCAGAGTTACATCCTGTGGCCAGTTGATAGAAGATAAATAATGCTCATAATAATGACTATGAGTAGCAACGGAACCTCCAATGTGCCACACACTCTATTTTTTAGAGATGGGGTCTTACTCTGTTGCCCAGGTTGGTCTTAGACTCAACCCTTGAATTCGAGCAATCCTCCTGCCTCAGCCTCCTGGGGTAGTTGGGATTACAGGCATGCGCTACCATGCCCAGCTGAAACATTCTACAGCTCTAGGTGTTTGATATGTATCATCTCATTGGGGTTTTCCAGCAACCCATGAGGGAAGTATTAGTATTATCATCTCATAATCCCATTTTACAGATTAGAAGCAGCCAACAGAAAATGTCATTAACTTGTTCAAAGTTTCAGAGATAGTAACTGGCAGAGCAAGGGCCTGCACCCTGGCACTCTGAGTTGAAGTTCTGTATGTCTACCCACTTTCCATGCTGCCTCCAGGGAAATGAGGCAGATATTTAAGACTCCCAACATGTATCTTTTCTTTTCTGGTGAAATCCTCCTGGCTTATTCAAGCTAAGGAAAATGGTAGAGTATAGTGGTTCAGACCCAGATATGTCCCTTGAAAACGGTGTGGCTGCAGCAAGTAACTTACCTTACCTGAGCCCTGGTTCCCTCCTCTGTCTCATGAAGCTAGTGCTTCTTCCCTCGTGGTGTGTGGTGAGGAGTTACAGTGGGCTGGCACACACACAGGAAACACTCAATATGTGATAGTTATGGAGAGGTATAAGGGTAGGGCAATAAACCCTAAGGGGCCAATCGGTTTTCAACAGCAGTCTCTTACTGGGGCAAAAACAACTATGGACTGAACCACACTTTTTTTTTTCTTTTTTCTTTTCTTTTCTTTTTTTTTTTTTTCTGAGACCAAGTTTCACTCTTGCTACCCAGGCTGGAGTGCAATAGTGCAATCTCGGCTCACTGCAACCTCCGCCTCCTGCGTTCGAGAGATTCTCCTGCCTCAGCCTCCCGCATAGCTGGGATTACAGGCACGCACCACTGCACCTGGCTAATTTTTGTATTTTTAGTAGAGAAGGTGTTTCGCCATGTTGGCCAGCCTCATCTCAAACTCCTGACCTCAAGTGATCTGCCTGCCTCAGCCTCCCAAAGTGCTGGGATTACAGGCATGAGCCACCGTGCCCAGCCCGAACCACACTTTAATCCCTGAAGTGTAACAGTTACAGGAAACCAAAAAGCAGCTAAGCCATAGAAAGAGGAGGGAATAAAGACATTAAAATTGAATCACAGCTCTTAACGTTTGTTTTTGTTTTGTTTTGTTTTGTTTTGAGACAGGGTCTCGCTCCATCTCACTCCTGGGTAGCTGGGATTACATTCAGGCATACGCCTGTAAAGATGGGTCTTCATCTTTAAAATGAGGACCCTGATTTTTTTTTTTTTTTTTTTTTGAGACGGAGTTTCGCTCTTGTTGCCCGGGCTGGAGTGGAATGGCACAATCTCGGCTCACTGCAACCTCCGCCTCGTGGATTCAAGTGATTCTCCTGCCTCAGCCTCCCAAGTAGCTGGGATTACAGGCATGCACCACCACACCCGTCTAATTTTGTATTTTTAGTAGAGATGGGCTTTCTCCATGTTGGTCAGGCTGGTCTCAAACTCCTGACCTCAGGTGATCCACCCACCTTGGCCTCCCAAAGTGCTGGGATTATAGGTGTGAGCCACGACGCCCGGCCGAGGACCCTGATTTTAAGAGGGTCAGCAGCAGATCAGCTCCACCAGGAAGAGAGGGAATGGGGACTAGCACCTATTGAGCTGCTGATATGTCCCACACTCTTTTTTTAAAAATGTAGTGTAATTTTTTTTAGAGGATAATTTTGTTTTTAGTTGCCCAGGCTGTAGTGCGGTGGCACAATCACAGTTTACTGCAGCCTTGACCTCCTGTGCTCAAGCAATCCTCCCACCTCAGCCTACTGAGTAACTGGGACTACTGGCATGCACCACCATGCCAGGCTAATTTTTTGATATTTTGTAGAGACAGTGTCTCACTATGATGCCCAGGCTTGTCTCAAACTCCTGGGCTTAAGCAATCCTCCCACTTCGGCCTCCCAAAGTGCTAGGATTACAGGCATGAGCCACCACACCAGGCTCTTAAGGTTTCTAACCAAAGTGTACCTGTAACTGGTACACTTCAGAGATTAAGAGCGTGGCTTTGACCAACAAATCCTGTTGTCTGTGACATGCCTCCCGCAGGCCCCGTCAGCCCGGGCATCTGGTTCGGGCTGCCTGTGCTCCTTACCTGTGTGGGTACTCTGGCTCCAGCCTGCTAGCTACTTCCAGGGCCTCACCCCAGCCTGGGGCGCTGGCCTCAACCCTGGTGTGTGGCTCCAGCTTGGCATTCTTGAAACTGAGCAGGATTTGACTTCAGTAATCCAGTGACTGAGCTTAGCAAATAGGCTCTAGGTCTCCGCTCTCCTTGAACCTCCAGCTTCTGTGTATTCCTGGATCTGGATCGGCCCTTCCACTTGCTTTCTCATTTAATTGTTAGTCTTTGCCTTGGTTGAAGCCTGGTCTTGCTCCCTAGTCCTGAAGGAGCTCTTTTCTAGGGCGCTTGTGGTAGCCTGAGTACTCTAGAAAAAAGCAGAGGTAAAACTTACGCACGAATTCTTTATTGAGGGACATAATCCTAGGGCAGCAGGAATGAGCAGAGGGACTGGAGGCCAGGAAGGAAGGAAAGCAAGCACAGAGTAGGGTATTTCTTTTTCTTTTAAACGTTTTTTTTTTTTTAAGATAGAATTTTTGCTGTACTGCCCAGGCTGGAGTGTAATGGTGCCATCTCAGCTTACTGTAACCTCTGCCTCCTGGGTTCAAGTGATTCTCCTGCCTCAGCCTCCCGAGTAGCTGGAATTAACAGGCGTCTGCCACCACACCTGGCTAATTTTTGTATTTTGGGTAGAGACGAGGTTTTGCCATGCTGCCCAGGCTGGTCTCAAACTCCTGACCTCAGGTGATCCACCTGCCTCAGCCTCCCAAAGTGCTAGGATTACAGGTGTGAGCCACTAGGCCCGGCTTATTTTAAATTTTTTTTTAGAGATGGGTTTCCCCCTGTCACCCAGGCTGGAGGGCAGTGGTGCAATCAGAGCTTACTGCAGCCTGGAACTGCTGGGCTCAAGTGATCCTCCCGCTTCAACCTTCTGAGTAAGTGAAACTATAGCCTTGGACTCAGGCCTTGGACTCAAGCAATCCTCCCAGGTGCAGGCCACCACAACTGGCTTTTTAAAAAAAATTTGTAGCTGGGTATGGTGGCTCACACCTGTAATCCCAGCCTTTGGGAGGCTGAGTTGGGTGGATCATGAGGTCAGGCTAGCTTGGCCAAGATGGTGAAACTCTGTCTCTACTAAAAATTAGCTGGGCATGGTGGTGGGTACTTGTAATCCCAGCTACTTGGGAGGCTCAGGAGGAGAACTGTTTGAACCCAGGAGGCGGAGGTTGCAGTGAGCCGAGATCAGGCCACTGCACTCCAGCCTGGGCGACAGAGTGAGACTCTATCTCAAAAAATAATAATAATATATATTTTTTTTGTAGAGATGGGGTCTCGCTCTGTCGCCCAGGCTGGTCTCGAACTCCCAGCCTCAAGTGATCCTCCCACCTCAGCCTCCCAAAGCACTGGGATTACCGGCACAAGCCACTGCACCCTGCCAACCCTACCTTCCTGAGAAACCCAGCAAGCCATTTGGTCAGACAGGACATCCTGGGCCAAACTGTTGAAGGGAGAAATAAGAAGGAATGTTTCTGCCAGCTCTGTCTTGTCTCTTGGATCTCACTGGTTAAAATTCCCCCTTACCCTGGGTCAGGTCTCATGCCTCATAGGACTTCCTCTGAGTCCAGGTTTTAGGAGTTCAGGCCTGATACAGGCAGCTCCGGAGCAAGCCCTCCCCTTAGGGAAGGCACAGACAGCTTGTGCAGTCAGAGATGATGTGATGGTGGCAGCAGGCAAGACTGTCCATGCAGGAAGTAGCCCTGGGCCCAGGAGGCAGTTGGAGCTGGGAAGAATGGGAGAGGCCCATCAATCAGGTCTCTGACAGCCCCTACCTCCAACAACTCTGGCCTGAGCAGTATGTCACATAAGCCTAAGCCTCAGATCTGGCCCTCCCAACTGTGCTAGGCTGACCAATGTCCCCCAAAGTTCACGTCCACCCAGAAACTCAGGATGTGACCTTATTTGGAAATAGGGTCTTTGTAGACATAGTTAGTTGAAAGGGGATTATACTAGATTAGGGTGGGCCCTATGTCCAATATGACTGGTGTCCTCATAAGAAGAGAGGACACAGGTCGGGCGTGGTGACTCATGCCTGTAATCCCAGCACTTTGGGAGGCCGAGTGGGGCGAATCATGAGGTCAGGAGATGGAGACCATCCTGGCTAATGTAGTGAAACTCCATCTCTACTAAAAATATAAAAACAAAATTAGCTGGGCATGGTGGCGGGCGCCTGTAGTCCCAGCTACTCAGGAGGCTGAGGTGGGAGGATAGCATGAACCCAGGAAGCGGAGCTTGCAGTAAGCTGAGATTGCACCACCGCACTTCAGCCTGGGCGACAGAGTGAGACTCCATCTCAAAAAAAAAAAAAAGAAAAAGAAAAGACAGAGAGAGACACACAAACACACACACACAGACACACATACACAATCGCACACACAGATACACAAACACGCACAGGGAAGATGGCCATATGATGATGGAAGGGGAATTTGGAGTGATGTATCTACAAGCTAAGGAATGCCAGCGATTTCCAGAAGCCACCAGAAGTTGGAAGAGGCAAGGCAGGCTTCTTCCTTAGAACTTTCAGGGGGAGCATGGACCTGCCGACACTTTGATCTTAGACTTCTGACCTCCGGAATTATGAAGGAATAGACTTCTGTTACTTTAAGGTACCCAGTTTGTGGTAGTTTGTTACAGCAGTCCAAGGAAACGAATGCTTTTCCAAGTATAAAAGCTGATCCCTTGCAGAAAACTTGTAGCTCTTAGTATCATAGTTGATAATAACAGTAAGAGCACTGGTTGAGCGCTTACACAGCAGCCTCTGTTCTTAGTATTTACAGGTAGCAACTGATCCTGTCCTTACAGTAACACCCCAGGGTCCTCATTTTAAAGATAAAGACTCAGAGGGATGGTGTGTACAACCACGCCAGCTGACTCCACCAAGAAGGGAAAGGATGGGGACTAAAGTTTATTGAGTTGCTATGTCCCAGCCTCTCTTCTTTTTAAAATTTAATTTAATATAAATTTATTTTCTTTTTTTTTTTTTAGGCTCAGGGTCTCATTCTGTCACCCAGGCTGAAGTGCAGTGGTGAAATTATGGCTCATCGTAACCCTGAACTCTGGGGCTCAAGTGATCCTCTCGCTTCAGCCTCCCAAGTAGCTAGGGCTACAGATGGGCACCACCATGCCCAGCTAATTTATTTTTATTTTTTTGTAGAGATGGGGGGGTACTGCTATGTTGCCCAGGCTGGTCTTGAACTACTGGCCTCAAGTGATCCTCCTTTCTCAGCCTCCTGTGTAGCTGGGACTACAGGCACATACCACCATGCATGGCTAATTTTAAAACTGTTTCTTTGTAGAGATGGGGTCTTGCTATGTTGCCCAGTCTAGTCTCAAACTCCTGGGGTCAAGCAATCCTCTTGCCTTGGCCTCCCAAAGCACTGGGATTACAGGTATAAGCCACTGTGCCCGACCGCAGGCTCCTAACATTTCACTTACATTGATGGTAGGGAGAAAAAAGTTGTTTTACTGAAAGCTGGAGACAGAATTCCTCTTGGGGAGATGTTATATTGGGATTGAGCCTTTGGGAAGAAAGGTGCAGCTCCTCTTCTCCCTTCACTCCCCTTGCTTGAACAGCGGGAGGAGTGGATTTGGGTTGTGAGGGGCAGATGTCTTGACAGAGAAGGGATGGCAACTGAGAGGCAGAGGGAACTTGGCGGCTTGAGGGAAGGCTACTGTCCGCTTGAAGAGAAGGGTAGAATGTGCTGGCAATGACTGAGGAATTGTGAAGAACAAGGATATAACATATTGATTCTGATATTTCTCTTTGTGCTCCCCTGAATTATAATTTTCCTCCATAGTCCTGAACCCTCAGAAGACATCTGAGCCACCACGCCTGGCCATTTTGGGGAGGGCAGGCATGGGACCGTGGCCTCAGCAGGGCAGAGAGTTCTTGAAAGTGGGCAGCTCAGAGAAGATCTGAGATGAAAGCAGTGATCCCTGGAAGAATAGATGTTGTCAGAGGAGACAAGGAGAAATGGTGGCCCTGTGAGAACCCTTAAGATAAGAGGAGGCTGCTGGATTTCTCCCTGCAAGAGGAATGGGAGTTTGCTTAACTTTTATTTAATGGTAAAGGACTGGGTGACCCTAGCAGCTTGGAGGATTTGGGGTTAAACAGACATCTGAATCAGATTAAGACATCTGATTCTTCAGTTACACATTTCCTCCTTTGATCTTTACAACAATCACATGAGAGAGGCCTCACTCCCCACTCAGCACTCCGTGGGGACACGGTCTTTGTCTCTCTCATCACTGTTGTGTTCTCAGCACCTAGAACACGCCATGACTCAGAGAAGGTGCTCGGTAAATATTTGTTACATTAATGAAAGAATTATCCCTATTTTACAAATGAGGAAACTGAAGGATGGGAATGCAAATAACTTTCCCATAGTCACACAGAGCAAGGTGGTTGTGACCTCGAAATGCACACTTTCTCCTACATAGGACCCCTTGTACCTCTGGGGTTCTCAATGGAGGTTTGAAAAATTTTGTTGATTCTTCAGCAAAATCTTGTTGAAGCATCAAGTTAGGGAAAGTGGTAAAGAGTAGAAGTGCCTACATGAGAAAATGGATTCCTAGGCTGATTTTTTTTTTTTTTTGAAACGGAGTTTCATTTTTGTTGCCCAGTCTGGAGTGCAGTGGCGCAATCTCAGTTCACTGCAACTTCCGCCTCCCACATTCAAGTGATTCTCCTTCCTCAGCCTCCCAAGTAGCTGGGATTACAGGCATGCACCACCACACCCGGTTAGTTTTTGTAGTTTCAGTAGAGACAGGGTTTCGCTGTGTTGGGTAGGCTAGTCTCAAACTCCTGACCTCAGCTGATCCACCCGCCTCGGCTTCCCAAAGTGTTGGGATTACAGGCGTGAGCCACCGCGTCCGGCCCTAGGCTGATTTTTGAAGGAGAAAAATCTCTGAGGCACACACACTCATTATGTGACTAAATGTCTTCTGGGTCTGTCAGTGTTTGTTAGTGTGGGTAAAACTGCAGCACTTCTAGCACATTTTAAGAAATGTTTTAAATGTCATCTTCTGACTTAAATTTAAAAAAGTACAACCCCCCCATTATCCATCATTCTTTCCACCTTCACCCAAAATAATCATGGTTAATATTTAGGTATATTTTCTTATAGTTTTTTCTATTTAGTATTCTTTTAAGAGAAGTGGTTATCTATATAGATAAGTTCACAATATTTATCATAAACATATTTCCCAGTATCATTAAAAAATTCTCAACAAATGTAAAGTTTAATGGCTTTATAATAGTTCACTATATGGTTATTTCCAAAGTTATATAGTCACTGCTATGGTCTCAATGTCTGTGTGTGCCCAAAATTTATATATTTAAAACTACTCTGCAATGCGATAGTATTAGAAGGTGGGGCCTTTGGGGGATAATTAGGTCGTGAGAGTGGAGCTAGTATGGAATTTGTGCTCTCAAAGAGACTCCTTTCCCTTTCCCCCACGTGAGGACACAGTGGAGAAGGCGTCATCTATGAACCAGAGAGTTAGCTCTTGCCAGATGCTCTGTCTGCCATGCCCTTGATCTTGGACTTCCCAGACTTCAGAGCTGTGAGCAGTAGATTTCTATGGTTTATAAGCTACCCAGTTTGTGATATTTTTGCCATAGCAGCCTGAAAAGACTAAGCTATCACAATAGTCTCTTAAAGCAATTAAAGAGATTGTCTGGGACAGCCTGGGCAACATAGTGAAACCCCACCTTTACAAAAAATATTTTAAAAATAGCTGGGTATGGTAGGGTGGACCTGGAATCCCAGCTACTCGGCAGATTGAGGTAGGAGGATCACCTGAGCTTGGGAGGTCAAGGCTTTAGTGAGCCCTGATCGTGCCACTGCACTCCAGGCTGGGTGACGGAGTGAGACCCTGTCTTTAAAAAAATAGTTTGTCTGGGAACCAATGAATAGATTTCTTCCAAAAGTTCAAGTAGCCCCTGCAGTATGCGGTGATGGCATTAATAAAAGGACATTCCTTTTTTTTTTTTTTTTTGAGATATGGGTCTCATTCTGTCACCTAGGCTGGAGTGCAGTGGCACAAGCATGGCTTACAGCAGCCTTGACCTCCCAGCGTCAAGCAATCCTCCCACCTCAGCCCCCCAGTAACTGGGACTACATGTATGTACCACCACTCCTGGCTAATTCTGATTTTTTTTTTTGGTAGAGACAGGATCTCCCTATGTTGCCCAGGCTAGTCTTGAACTCCTGGGCTCAAGTGATCCTCCAGCCTCTGCCTCCCAAAGTGCTGGGATTACGGGCATGAGCTGCTGTATCCTGCCCAGAACATCCCTCTTGTTTTCATTTTAAATTTAACTATTTTAAATTAATTCCTGCCTTTGGTAACAAATAAACAAAACAACTAGCAAACTTCAAAGTATTAAAATATATATATACACACATATATATACACACATATACATATATATATATGTATGTATAAAAGAAAAAGGTCATTCCTCTCTCCCCAAATTTCCCTCCCTAGAGGTGACACTACTGCCAGTTTCTTGGGCATTCTTCCAAAGATGTTCTGTGCATACGCAAACATGTATGTCATAGTCATCCCCAGTTTCTTTTCCCACAATGATACCGTACTTGGTACACTGCTTTCATCTTGCTTTGAGCACTTAATGGAGATAGATAGAGAGCGTGGTCTAGTGGTTAAGAGCACAAGGCTTGGGAACCAGACTTCTTGGGTTTAAATTCAAGTACCACTATTAACTAGCCATGCATTTTTGGTCAAATGACCTCATTTCTTTGTGCTGCAATTTCCTTTTCTTGCATGGTGTTTTCTGTCTCCCAAAAAAGATATGTTAAAGTCCTTATCTTCTGTATCTTAGAAGGTGACTTTATTTGGAAATAGGGTCTTTGCAGAAGTAATCAAATTAAAATGAGGTCATTAGGGTGAGCCCTAATCCAATATGACTGGTGTCCTTAGAAAAAGGGGAATTTGTACCAGATACACAGACATGCACACTGGGAGAATACCATGTGAATGCTGGATTTATGCTGCCACAAGACAAGGAATGTCTGCGGCTACTCAAAGCTAGATGAAGCAAGAAAGGATCCTTTGCCTACAGGTTGGAGTGGGCGTGAGCCTGCCAACACCTTCATTTCTGACTCTAGCCTGTAGAACTGTGAGACAATACCATTCTGTTGTTCTAAGCCACCCAGTTACCCAGTGTATTGTACTTTGTGACAGCAATCCTAGGAAACCAATATACACACATTAAATGAACTAGAATAGGCCCAGAATCTAAGACTATGCCTGATAGTCATGAAATACTATGTAAGTGTTAGCTGTTATTATTACATAGATATACATAATCCTTTTTTTTTTTTTTTTTTTTTTTGAGATAGGGTCTTGCTCTGTCACCCAGGCTGCAGGGCAGTGATGTGATCTCAGTTCACTGCAACTTCCACCTCGTAGGTTCAAGCAGTCCTCCCATCTCAGCTTCCTGATTAGCTGGGGCTACAGGTGTGAGCCATCATGCCTGGCTAATTTTTCTATTTTTTGTAGAGAGGGGTTTTGCCACATTGCCCAAGCTGGTCTCGAACTCCTGGGCTCAGGTGATCTGCTTGCCTCAGGCTCCCAAAGTGCTGGTATTACAGGCATGAGCCACTGCGCTGGACTTGCCTCGTTCTCTGTAACAACTGCATAATATTTTCTTTGTGGCTTTGGCAAAATTTATCACTTAGTTTTATTATTATCAAAATAATACATTGTTAAAAAATTTAATACTACTAAAAGGCTTGCAATGAAAAATAGCAGCATCTTCCCCCATTCTTGTTCAACCCCCCAGTCTCACTTCCCAAAGGCAAATGTTTTCAGTTACTCAGGTCCTCCTTCTGCTATTTGTCTCTATCTTTCTAAATGCTGTACTTATGCTGCCACGTCCTGATTTATCAGTTTCACAAACTCTCTTCTCTCTCCCTATTATGATAGATGAGGATTTTGGTTTATGACACCCCACATCCTGCACACACACACAGACACACACACCCTTTTGTCATCTTCACAGTATGATTATATAACTATTTTTAGTTATGTAATAGGTTGTTAAAATAGAATTTTAAGTCTTTGAGATCCAACTGAGCCTCTAAAGCTGAGAACAATAGGTGCAAAGGGCCCTACATTCTACACAGAAATTCTAGACAATCCAGGCAGGGCTTGCAAATGAGGTATCCCCAGAGTGGCTCTTCCAGCCTTGGCCACTGACTACCTCTAGTCTATAAAAAAGAAGGCCAAGAATTAAGCAGGGGGCTGAAGGGCCAGAACGGGGGACTGCTCTGGAGAGAGTTATCAGAGTACTGCGTTTCCTACCCCATCCTCGACATGCGGTGAGAGAAAGACTCCTCACATTCATCCTAAACTAGCGGGGGTTTAGGGGGGTTTCAAGAGCATCCTCAGAGAGTCAGATAAGCATTTCCTGAAGTTTGGGAAGACTCAATATACTCAGTGACTGACACACCTGAAAAAAAAAATGGTATGTGAAGGCCAGGAGCTGGCTGGAGCAGACCGCCTCCCAGCAGAACAGAGAGTCAAGGTTGACCAGCTTTTCCAGGGGCTGCCGGGGTTTTCTATGGGTCAGATTGGATTCTGTGGAAAAGAGCTGCTAATGGGTTGCTTTTGAAATTCTCCACTAGGCCAGGCAGGTTCCGTGGCTCACGCCTGTAATCCCAGCACTTTGGGAGGTCAAATGGATCACTTGAGGTCAGGAGTTCGAGAGCAGCCTGGCCAACAGGATGAAACCCCATCTCTACTAAAAATACAAAAATTAGGCCGGGGGCGGTGGCTCGCACCTGTAATCCCAGCACTTTGGGAGGCTGAGGCGGGTGGATCACAAGGTGAAGAGATCAAGACCCTCCTGGCCAACATGGTGAAGCCCCGTCTCTACTAAAAATACAAAAATTAGCTGGTGCTAATCACAGAGGTGTGGTGGCGGGCCCCTATAGTCCCAGCTACTCCGGAGGCTGAGGCAGGAGAATCGCTTGAACCTGGGAGGCAGAGGTTGCAGTGAGCTGAGATGGTGCCACTGCACTCCAGCCTGGTGACAGAGCAAGACTCCATCTCAAAAACCAAACAAACAAACAAACAAAAACAAAAACAAAAATTAGCTGGGCGTGGTGGAACATGCCTGTAATCCCAGCTACTCAAGAGGCTGAGGCAAGAGAATCATTTGAACCTTGGACACAGAGGTTGCAGTGAGCCAAGATTGCGCCACTGCACCCCAGCCTAGGTACACAGAGAGACCCTGTCTCAAACAACAACAACAACAACGACAACAACAAAAACCCACCCAACTGTACCGTCTGGAAGGCCGGAAAGTGACCCCAACCAAGAGTGAGCCACCAGAAGCCAGGTGCCAAGGGGACAGTTGTCAGTGGCCAGCCCAATGAGGCATCTCCCAGGTCAAGGGAAGTACATCTAAAACATCCCCAGTGACGGGGCTAGTCCCATGACTCACCCTTGGACAGCTGATACACCAAGAGGGCACACAGGCAGATGACAACCATGCAGGCCAAGAGCTCTCCTTCTCCTCACGGCTATCTTTTTCATGTCTGCCTCTAACCCTAGAGGAGCCAGAGGCAACACAGTGAGCAAGATGGGACATAGTGACATTGGCCCTGAACTGAGGGTTGCCAGATTTAGCACATAAAAATAACTCGATGCCTAGTTTAATTTGAATTTTAGATACACAATAAATGCTTTTTGAGTATAAGTATATCCCATGCCATATTTGGGACATAATTGTATTAAAAGTACTTGTTGCTTTCTTGAATTCAGGTTTAACTGAGCATCCTATATTTTATTTGGCTGCTCTGCTCACTCTTCTTGCCCACTGCAAACTTCAAGCCTGTGTCAGGCCCAAGCCGCAGGAGAAAGCTATACATTGGATAAGAGCTTGGTATGCTGATATTAGACTAAATTGGACTTTGGGTTACCTTGGGGGAAAAAGAGACTATTCATTAATAACCCAAGAGTACTCAGAAAAGCTACAAAGATTGCTGTTTCATCCATGGAGCTGAAAAGGTGAGATGAAAAGGTTTGTGCTGGAACATCTCAAGTCCATTTTGTTCAGAAAGCCAGTGATAGGTATATTAAGTTCAGCACTTAGGGTATTAATATCACATAAATATTATTTGTTGCTGAGCCAAGTTGGGAATCAGATTGCATTCCTTATACAACTTTTTATTTTTTCTGAGTTAACAATTGCCTGGTTTAAGCATTTTCCATTTTTAAAAGCCATTTGTGTTTCTTTTTCTGTGAACTGCTTATTCATGTCCTCTGTGGGGTTGTGGAGCTTTCTCTTACTAATTTATAAAAGTTTATTTATACACTAAAAATTAATGTAAAAGAAAGCTCTTTTATTAGGGAACTGGAAATTGCAAGTAAGATAGGATAAGTGGATCTTTTCTGACACTTGTGTTGGGAAACTTAGATTTCACTGTGCCCAGCTGTTAATATCTAGAACTGCTCTTCTAAAACAAACTTTCTCAAATCTATAGTTTCTTTAAATATTCCTTTAATGCTTATATGCTCATTTCTTGGTTAAAAATTTCCCAAGAAGAATGTGTACAATTAAGACACAGCTCGTCAGCATTTTTCTTATTTAAACATGATCATTCATCGTTGGGACTTATTTCCATGAAATTAACCCATACCAGGAAAATAGCTGCAATTATCACCTCACTGATATGGTGAGAAATTTCTCTTGAGAAACTACTGCTATGTGGTAATAATATTGTTACAGCAAGGGTCACAAAGATTAAAATCATGAATCTTTTTTCTTACTCTGTTTGTGGTTTTGTAATTCTGATCTAATAACAAATGTTATTGTAATGTTCAGGCTCTGATTAGAATATCAGGACCTTTTAATTGTTGGTGAGATTTAGTCTCTAAGGTTTCTCTGAAGTAACGGGAATCATATGATAAGGTAAATGTAACATTTTGGATTACTGCCACTGCATGTAAATTTTCATTGTAAACGATGGCAAACCACTCAGCTAATTTTTGCATATAATTCTTTTTAAAGAATCCCTTCATTGTGAAGGGAAAGAAAACATTCCCAAAACAAATACACTAAAATATGAATTCAGAAATGAATTGAGGAGAACAATAGACAGGAAAATTGCATTTCAGATGAGCTGTCAGTCAAATCTCATATTTGTTGATAATTTCTCAGAAGAGTCCAGGGTGGGCTTCATTTCTAATTTTTATTTATAAATTCAGTTTTAAGATTGCAACGAGGCATGGTGATTCTCCTGTTTCATTATCTAATTATTTTTCTAGAATGAACAACATGTAGGAAGGGCTGGATTCCAGAATCCCATGGTCCTAGAATAAAAAATCTTTGCATGTCTTGCAGATGCCAGCTCTGTTTAGTCTTGGCGAAATCACCCTCAGCATATGTAACATCTTGCACTCCTGTTCTCCTTTTATCTCTATTCAGTGGGAAACTAGCTTTTTGGGCACCTCTGTCTTGAAAATTGACAGATGTTTCCTCCCTTTATTCCTCTGCAGGACACAAGTTTATCTATCAGGCCCAGCGTTTCTTTAGCAGAGTGGTGGTAAGATAAAAATCTGATCAGTATACCAATCAGTCAATCAATCAAATGTACTCCAGGATATCCAAGGCATTGTGGAGGGAGAACGTGGCTGTTTACTGAGGGACAGTCATATTCCTGGCACAACGTTAGGTGTTTTCACTGTGTAGCTTATCGTTTTAGTGATGGGGTCTCACTCTGTCACCCAGGCTGGAGTGCAGGGGCACAAGCATAATAGCTCACTGAAAGCTAGAAACCCTGGGCTCAAGTGATCCACCTGCTCCAGCCTTCTGAGTAGCTGGGACTATGGGTGTGCACCACCACACCTGGCTAATTAAAAACAAATTTTTAAGAGATAAGGTCTCTCTATGTTGCCCAGGCTGGTCTCTAATACATGGCCTCAAGTGATTCTCCCACTTCAGCCTCCAAGTCACTGGGATTATAGATACAAGCCACTGCACCGGCCATGTGTGCAGTTTACTTGAACTCTTGCAATAATTTCCTCAAGGTAGATGAGGAATCTGAAGGTCAGAAAGTTGGAGTTACTTTGTGAAGGCCTCTAGCTGGTAAATGTCAGCATTTGTCCACTGCTCCCTGCCTCACACTCTCATATTCAGCTGTAGGCAGTTCTTCAGCTGGTTTCATCCAAGTGTCTCTGGTTAGTTTGAGACACAAAAGTAATCATACTTTGAATAACCTTTGTGCAAGTTTCATGGAGCTGATGAAAGTGATGTCGTAGAATTGCTAGAATCATAAGCAAACATGGAGTTAATCAGATAACAATTAAAGAGGAAGAAATTGACAAGAATGAGAACATAATAGGATCTTCAAAAGAGAAGCATTTGACAACTGTAGGTTAAGGGAGGTCATTGAGAAAAAACTAAGTACTTCAACATATTTGTCAACTGTGCTACTGGACAAGTTTTTAGAAAAAGTAGACCTCAAATCCTAAATCAACACTAACTTTGGTTTTTGTTCTAAATATTAAAGCAGACTTACAGTTGCAACCTAAATTTTATTATATATATAACAACATAGAATGTTGTTGTTATTATTATTATTATTGAGATGGAGTCTTGCTCTGTTGCCCAGGTTGGAGTGCAGTGGCACCATCTCGGCTCACTGCAACCTCTGCCTACCGGGTTCAAGTGATTCTGGTGCCTCAGTCTCCTGAGTAACTGGGACTAAAGGCACCTGCTACCACGCCCAGGTAATTTTTGTATTTTTAGTAGAGACAAAGTTTCACCATTTTGGCCAGGCTGGTCTGGAACTTGTGACCTCAAGTGATCTGCCTGCCTCGGCCTCCCAAAGTGGTGGGATTACAGGCATGAGCCACCATGCCCAGCCTACATAGAATATTATTCTGATCAATTTTTTCCCTATCTTATATGAAATTTTTGTGTGAGAATCTCTTTGTCTCTTTCTGAAGTCAAACAGTGACTGAGAGACCTCCTATTCTTTGTCATGCTGTTTCGTGCTTCTGAACCCGTGTCTGTGGTGTTCTGATTGCCTGCGGGAACTTCTCTCGTTCTGCAGGAAAACACCTCTTGGCTGCTCTCAGCCTTCAATATCACCTCTTACATGAGAGTTTCCTTTAACCTTTCCTGCCCATTAGCTGTTCTCCTACTGTGTTCCTGTAACACTTGGCACACATCTCCGTAGCTGCTCCCTGCTGCATGTAATGATTAGTTGACATGCATCTTTCCCTCTGGGCTATAACCACCTCTTCAAAAGCAAGCTCATCTCTCATCCACTCTGTCACCCAGGCTGAGTTCAGTGGTGCAATCACGGCTCACTGCAGCCATGACCCCCAGCTCAAGCCATCCTCCCACCTTAGCCTCCTCAGTAGCTGGGACTACCGGTGTGCCACCACACCTGCCTTATTTTTTGTACTTTTTGTAAAGATGGTGTTCTGCCATGTTGCCCAGGCTTATCTAAAACATCTGGACTCAAGAAATCCACCCACCTCAGCTTCTTTGCTGAAATTACGGGAGTGAGACACTGTACCCAGCCTGTTTTTATTTTTTAAATTAAAAAAAATTTTTTTTAGAGACAGGGTCTCACTCTGTCACTCAGATTAGACTGCAGTGGCACAATCATGGCTTATCACAAAACCTTGAACTCCTGGGCTCAATTTATAACAATAATTATATTATTGTTTAATAATCTTTTAAGTTCCAATGGAAGTGGTACATATTCCACCCAGCCTTCCCATTTTCCTGAAGCTGCAACAAATCACTCAGAATGCTCAACCTTCATGTCTCAGGACCTTTTTTTTTTTTTTTTTGACAGAGGGTCTTGCTCTGTTGCCAAGTACATTTTATTGATTGAATGACTGGTACACTGATCAGATTTTTATCTTATCAAAGCTCTATGTTGGAGTGCAGTGGCACAATCTCGGCTCACTGCAGCCTCCACCTTCCAGGATCAAGAGATCCTCCCACTTCAGCCTCCTGAGTAGGTGGGACCACAGGCATGCACCACCACACCTGGCTAATTTTTTGTATTTTTTTTTTTTTTTGTAGAGATGGGGGTCTGATGGGGTGGGGGTTTCACTTTGTTGCCTGGGCTGGTGTCGAACCCCTGGGCTCAAGGGATCCTCCCACCTCAGCTTCCCAAAGTGCTGAGATTACAGGTGTGAGCCTCTGCACCCAGCCGGCTTCTCATGCCTTTTAACTGTGGTTTTTACCTCCTGTCTAGATGACTGCTTCTTGAGTTCAGAGACATATTTTGTTCATCTTTATGTCTTTCAGTGCCTTGTGTGTAGAAAGTGCTCAAGAGACTTAACACATTGTTGGTCAGCTTTGGTTGTCTTAATGACCAATCCATCACCTTACAATTTACTGCCAAAGTTATATGTTTGATTCTGACATCTCTGATTTGGTTGGAGTTTCCAGTGCCACAGCTTCTGCTTTTTTCACTGCAATGTCTGTGCATGCTGATGACAGATTAATAAAATTGGATGTCCCAGCCATTGAAATTCCCTTTTGCCTCCCTCCCAACCCTCTTCCAGAGTCTTATTCCCATTCAGTCTCATGACAGAATTTCACAGGTAACTCTGCTGTCTGCAGCTCAAAGAAGCCACTCTTAGTGACAATGAGCTGACCATTAAAATGGGTTGCAATTCAGAAAGGATTGCACAGCTATCCCAATTGCTGGGGATTTTAGAATTCTGCTTAGGTTATTGATAGGTTTATGTCCAAATGCACTCTAATTGAGGAATCTCTGATGAATTCATTCAACATTCTTTTAGCAAATATTTAGCACCTAGTGTCTGCCACCTGCCATGCCACAAGCTAGAGATGGACCAGGAGACGGGACAGACACAGTTCCTGTCATCTTAAAGCTTAGTTTAGTGGGGATGAGAAGATGCAGAATGTAGGTGCTGGGAGTTATAACCGAAAAGGGCAGGGTGCTCTGGGAGGATGTTGGAGGGGTCTTTACCAGTGACAGAGGCGAGATAAGGAAATGATCGTGAAGCTAAGGCTAGAGTAGGAATTAACTAGATGTGTGTGTTTGGGGCATGGGGCTGGGGACTGGTTTGACAAGAGAGTCCCAGGAAGAGTGACTGTGAGTGGGGATAACATGAAGGGGCACACAGGATGCTCTGGAAGAAGTATACCATGCCCTGAGATGGCTCTAATTCTGCAAAGAAATTCATGATTATTTGCATTGCGCCTGTATGGAAAAACAAAAGAATATAATCTAAATGTGAATTAAGCATCAGAGGAAATAACCTCTTCTGATTATACTAGGTCAGGATAATGAGAAGAGATGATGTGTCCACAGGTTTCGTATTAATTTCTTATTTTCAGTATTTATTCATTTCACACTTATCACATGTCAAGTGGTGGTAAGAATTCTATTAAGAAACCCATTGAGTGCCCCAAATAGACTAGAAATGGTACATAATGAATGGAAGTTCATGATCTTTCTATCTTCAGAAGATTTTTGTTCCAACAGAACTCACAACTTATTGATAGACATAGTAATTATGAGTAGAGTATCAGATTTTGGTTTCCAGGGCAGTGTGTCCAAAATGTGACATTTCAGAAGCCCTAGTAGTTCGTATTAAAAATGTATATCCATTACCCCCCTTCAGCTACCCAGTCATGGGAGGCGAAGACTTGGGTGCATTTAAGATTCTGCTGCCGTGGCTGAGGGAGACGTTGCTGTTGGAGGCGTCATGGGCATTAATGCTGCTTTACAAGAGGTGCTGACCACTCTCATCACAATGGCCTAGCACATGTAATTCTGAAAGCTGCCAGTCTTAGACAAGTGCCACGTCCACCTCTGTGTGCTTGCATCCCATCGTGATGGCCTGTGGATATCAAGTTGGTGGAGGTCCTCCGTGCCGAACACCAAATCCACCTAAATAAGCTGGTGACATCAAAAAACTGAGACTGGGTGGGCCTCGGTGAAATTGACAGAGAGGGAAAGCCCAGTAATGTGGTTGGTTGCAGTTCTGGGGTAGTTAAGGGCTACAGCAAAGAATCTAAGGCCAAGAATGTCATCAAGGAGTACTGTACTTCCAAGGCAAGAGATGAACAAATA